TCCCATTTGCTAACCTTAAAGACCACATGTTCTTCCTATGGTGGAATTTCAAAAATATTTCCATCGTGGATGCACATTAAATCGTAGTCAAGTCTTTAGATGCTGTAGAGCTAAGCCTAGGACTCAATCAGTAATGGCGGCACCCTCATCAGATTAGATCGGAATTCAATTTTCATACCGTCTAAGTACACGTAGTAATCAATACTGCATAATATATCATATAATCAGTAAAACGAAAGGTCTTCCGAAAATGTTACCATCTATCACGTTTTTCAAAAAAGAACCGAAGACGCTATTCAGATTGGAAGTGAATAACTTCTACGAATGATCTGTTATTCTTGTTCATTTATTTATTACTTAGCAGCTCTTCTATTTATATCCCCACTAATTTATTTATTTTTCACTTACCCATGTTTGTTTGTTATTTGATATGACACATGAATCAATCACTGATTTCAAGTGTGTAAATATTAATAGGAGTTACTTAGTAATCAATTATTGGGTATAATTACTGATTATTGCTTATTTGAGTTTTTGAATACCGCTGAATGGACGGTCAATAGAAAAGCAGAATTATTATGAAAAGTATTGAAAGAGGACACCACTTATAAGGTCGTTCCTTACTAGAACAAATCTCAATGACACCTTAGGTCCATGCGGCTTATATTATGACCAACTGGTCTGTGTTTACTTCTATTCGATAGTAACGTCATTCTCTGTTCTAGGAGGATAAACATCATAACTTCAATAAGGAAACTAAAACGATCAACAACACACCCTACGAATACGGCAGTAACATGCAATATGCAAGCAGCGCGTTCGTAATTCAGTTTCTTGAATTTATTTATTGATTGTTTATTTTATTCTCCAAAAACACAATTTGTACAGAGATTCGATCGAGGATTATTCAGATTTGCCACAACTGGAAATTCCATGATACCGCTCACCGGAGGATATGCCCGTACAATGGGATCGCAAGTTATCTCATTCTACGATATCAGAATGATTAATTGGTTTTACAAATGTAATGGTAAGTCAGGAGCATTGTTTTACGATATTCTTGCAACAATCATGATATATGTTTGTAATAAAGTTTAGTGAATATCATAAATTGACCTATTCCAGGCGGTAAACGATAGATATTCCAGACGTGTTCGTAGAGTCCTTCGAACTGGGTTTTGATGATTTCTTTTAAGGCATAGGGACTCACTAACATAAGTCTGACTTGCGAGGTCGCCCTTGCTTACAAGCCTTCCATGGTAATATTGAAAGACAATGAGCGTAGAGGCCAGTTTTTGAGCCCCTAATGCCTCCTATGTGGATTGATTTCTCAACGAAACATGTTGATTTCCCCAGATCCCATAGATTAACAAATATAGGAACCACTAGATCAGGTTGCTCCCCCGTCTGAAAATCTAGCAGAAATTTTTTACATATACTTGTAAGCACAGACGTCCAAGTAGTCCTCTTTAAGTATTCTGTATTCAAATAGAAATATAAAAATTCTGTTCACCCCTGAAAAGTAGATTTTAGCCCCATGTAACGGTCTTGCGACAACAGCTAAATGTACCAATGGAGGAGCACCAAACCCAAGAAATTGCACAACATGTCTATGTCCGGCTGGCTATGGAGGTATTCTCTGTGGACAACGAGTGAGCCTCAGCCTTCTAATAGCTTAGAAGTTACCTCTCTCGTTTGAATTACACAAAAAACCAGTGCAAATTGGTTTCTTGCCCGTTTTCGTTGTGTAGTCCGCCTCATTCTTCCCCATGGTTTTTCGAACTATGTGAGCTGAAAGTGCTGAACGGTTGCTACAGGAAATAATTCGCTGAATTGATTCTGCACTATTCGAAACAACAATGAGCTTTTTCTTTCTTCCATTCTGCTTCAGTATCATAACCTTCACCAGACAGTCTTCCAAAAACCATCAAATTTCCAGAAGGCAGGATGTGGTACAACTTTGGCAGCCGGTACAGCCTGGAAAACCAGGAGTATCACCGTTGGTAGTACCGCTACCACCACCATCCGAGATGCTTACTCCATGTGCACTGACTGGATTACGGTAATGAGTTCTGCATCATGGGTTCAAGTAAATGAGCTTTGAAGAAGTTCATTTCTAGGCCCCAGCAGGGAAAAAGATCCAAATCCGCGTGACAGCTTTGAAGGATGTCCGATGTCAGGACAGCTGCTTTAGGAACGCGATCGAACCCAAAGTTTTAGCTGACAAGGCTATGACGAGCCCAAGGTACTCCTTTTCCTTGACGCGAAAAGCGGGGGACTCATAGGTGCTGCCAATATTAGAGTTGGAGTTCTGCTAATTGCTGTAGGTTGCTCTTTAGCGGACCACTGCATTCGTTTAGTTGATCGCATGCCTACTCGCATTTACATTTTCATTTGGCAAGTTGGTACACATTTGTGTGATTTGGACATGAAGGGGGATGTAGTGAAGTGGCAAGTGGCACACATACACACAAACGCACGCACACATACAAATACACATTCACATACACTTACACATGCAGACACATATACACATACACATACACACACGTACATACCTACATACAGACACACACACATACACATAAACGATCATCAACACATACACGTACACACGCATACACCACACATACACACATCGTCCGGGAGGCCGGGGATCAAAC